CGACCAAGACGACCCGTATGCGGGGAACGTGCTGAAAGCTATGGTGATCCAGATGCGCGTGACGGAGAACCATCAGAACGGGAAGGATACGCATGTGCGCGGGTTCCAGGTGTTTGCGCGCGACGACGATCGGCGACGCATGGGCAATGCCCCCTCCGCCTCTGCGGATGGACCGACCCGAAGGCACAGTGCTCGACGGTCCCTTCGCGGAAGTCTCAATGATGGTGGGGCTGAAGGACGCAATCCCAATGGGGATGCTGACGGGGGTAGGGTCGGTGGCCTGGAGGAGCCGGACTGGATGGGGGAGCCTGTAATACGATAGGAATGAGAGTCATGGCTGGATTTTTGCCCTTGTATGTCTTATCATTTCGGGTGGCATTCTGCAAAATGGTGTTCGCGGCGGATTCTTTTCTCAACCAAGCGACAGATGCATGGGGGCGGGTTTGCTATCGGTATTCTGTGTTTACCAGTTAAAGATACCCATTTCTTACCTTTCTTTATATCTACTACATGGAGCGAGAGATGCTATCGACAATCACGGGCCAGTGGCCTCGATATTCTGATAATTAATAAGTACTGTGTCATATCTATTTAATTCTGACCGAGTCATATCCCATTTGACATTACATGGGACTGAAATTGCTCGTGCGACGAGAAAACCGAAAACCTGCTTTTGTTGATCAATCATTGCTTCAACAGCTTCTCCAGCTCAGCAGCGACCGCGTCGCCGACCTGGCTAGTTGTCGACTTGCCACCAATATCGGCAGTGCGGACGCCGGCCTCGATCACATTGCGGACAGCGGTCTCGATGGCCTTGGCGTCGTCCATGCGGCCCAGAGAGTACTGCAGCATCATGGCAACAGAGAGAATGGCGGCGACGGGGTTGACGATGCCCTTGCCTGCAATGTCGGGGGCGGAACCTGTTTTATGTGTCAGCTCTACACTCAGATCGCAAGATGTAGACGACAAAGAAACAACGTACCGTGAATAGGCTCGTAGATACCGTTGACCTTGGTCTTTCCGTCCGGAATACCGGTCAAGCTCGCGCTGGGTAAGAGTCCCAGAGAGCCGGGGATAACGCTCGCCTCATCACTGATGATGTCACCGAACAGGTTGCTGGTGACGACAATACCGTTCAGCTTCCTAGGCTCCTTAACCATGATCATGGCCGCCGAGTCGATGAGCTGGTGTTCGACCTTGAGCTGGGGGAACTCCTTGGCCATGACCTCCGTCACGGTCTTGCGCCACAGCCGGCTCGTAGCGAGGACGTTGGCCTTGTCCAAGCTCCACACGGGGAGAGGGGGGTTGTGCTGCAGGGCCAGGTGGCCCGCGAGACGGGTGATGCGCTCGATCTCCGCGCGGGAGTAGGGCTCCGTGTCCATGGCGAAGCCGCTGCCGTCGTCCTCCTTGCGCTCGCCGAAGTAGATACCGCCGGTCAATTCGCGGATGATGTTGAAGTCAACGCCGCGGCAGACTTCGGGGCGGAGAGGGGAGCCGTCGACCAGCGACGGGGCGGCGAAGTTGCAGGGGCGCAGGTTACCGAATGTGCCCATCTCCTTGCGCAGTCGGAGGAGGCCCTGTTCGGGGCGGACGGCGCCAGTGCCCCATTTCTACGGGTTGCGTTAGCTTTCGGGCAGCGAGGTGTGAGAGAGCCTTCACGTACGGGCCCACCAATGGCACCAAGGAGAACGGCATCGGCGTTCTTTGCGGCGTTCAGAGCTTCGTCGGTCAGGGGAGATCCGGTAGCATCGATCGATGCCTACAGGGTTCTCGTGAGCGATTGGCCGAATAAATGCCGGTTCAAGACGGAGCCACTTACACCACCAAGCAGTTGATCCTGGAGGTTGAAGGTAGCGTCGTCACGGCACTTCTCAATGACACGGAGGACCTAACATTTGACGGATCCTATTAGCTGATGTGATTATTTGGGGCGAAACCACACAGAGTGTTGTCTCCGTCGACTGCGACATCTGTTGTGTGCTCACCTTCGTTGCCTCGGCGGTCACCTATGGCCAAGGTATACTCATTAGCTATCTGACGGGAGGAATACCTGCTCGGGATTTTGAACTTACCTCCGGACCACAGTGGTCACCACCAAAAACGACAATGTTATATGACGGCATTGTGATTATACAATTAGAAGAAAAGAACTGAACCTGGGGAGATTGACAGAACAATTGCAGGTGAGTGAAGTTGAAATATCCCTCAAGCTATGGAGGGGTGGATGCACCCCGCGCGCCGACACCGGAGACGGAGACCTTCGGAGTCCACTTTAAGCCGATTGGACCTGGAGCTATACAAAACACTGATGACTTTTGAAACAGCTACCTGAGGAACGATGAATTGCTACTGATGATATATAGATAGACAGAATTCCTGGTCATTGATTACCCCAGATGCAGCCAGCCACAGTGATGATGCCATAGTGTGATGATGATCTGCTCACAAGCATTTTGATATATGTCCACTGATTCTCACGAAAACAAATTAAAAATACCTAGCAGGCGCAAGAAAAGAAACCTAGTTGACAAGAAGAAATGAAAAAGGAAATGGAAATAAAGAAGAATTCTAAAAGTGATGCCGGAGCAGGCATCTGTAGTGCGAACATTCGCCTGTAAGAGGATCCCACAACCATATGGACCCCATTGACTGTTTGTTCGTAAGATGCTTTTGAAAGAACCAGGGTGTTCCCACAAAGCGGATGAATAACAGAAAGCAGAACGATAGTTGCAGCCAGAGCTGCTTCTTAGCCTCAGTATACTGACCATAGGATCGAACCATGCATAAAGAAGCTGTCAGCCAACAAAATAGAGACAAAGGCTCCGTTCCCGAAAAGCAATTCAATGATGAAGTGCCGAAATCGAGAAAGAGTACAGGACACGGACAGTCGAGTACCACCTTGACAAAGCTCTCAAGTGAGGAAGGCTTGCCCACTTGGGCGATGCAGCGCTCGAGCAGTCTACAATGTCTTTCCGTCCCGTTCAGCCTTGCGTCTGGCACGGTCACCTTCAGCAAGCCACTTGCTCGCCTTCACCAGCTGAACGACGTTGATAAATTGCTTCAGAGCCATGACTGGGGCGGAGATTCCGGTGATAACCCAAGGCCAAAAGCTGTCAATCTTGTTTGCCCGGGCTAGCTCCAGAGCTCCGGCGCTCCAGGGGCTAGCGAGAGCCGGAGGCGCATCGGGATCTTTAGCTTGAAGAAGAGAGGGCGAGAGAATAGGAGACGAGAAGGAGAGCAGATAAAGACCAATGAAGAAAAGTTCATTGAGGGCACAGCATATGAAAAGTACGGTCTGCAGGCTCTGTCAGTCATCAGATTCTTGATCTTGTAGATTGCATCGCACTCACCTTGCTGTGGTAGTACTGGTACAGAATCCAGCTTCTAGTAGCCTCAACATTCTTGTGGCTCTGGCCAGCTCCTCCCATGCTAAGCGTGGCGTACATGTGCATATAATGGCTGGCGAGGTCCAAAGAAATCAGGCTCTGGAAAAGGATCGACCACCGCGGCCACGCGGAGCTGAGGAATACCAGTAGACAGGCGGTTGTGCACCGGTCCGTCACCATGTCGAGCACCGCACCAAAAGTGGTGGACTGATTGTAGTATCGCGCTGCATATCCATCCAAGGCATCCAGCAAGCATGATACGCTATATAGTAAAGAGCATGTTCGAGGGTGGAGGGGCATGTAATAGAGGGAGGCAATGGTCAAGAAAACTCGTGAATACCCTGCACCGTTGCGGCAGCGGTCAGCATCTCATTCAGACGAGGGAACCTGTATATAATTTACTTACCGATGAGATTCGGAATGAAAAGAAACACATTCTCCCTAGCCTCCGCGTCAGGAGAAGGGGAACTGCTTTTTCGGGGGGATTTCCGCGTCGTGCCGTTGCTGGTAGACGTCACGTCGCTATCCTCTGATTGAGCAGCCAGGGCGGCCTTTTGTCTTCTCGTTCTGGCGCTCATAATGAAATGTGTGCGACGCGCAATTTATTCGACGGAGAAGTCGCCCCGGATGGGAAGGGTTGTAGCTGGCAAGGTGTAGAGCAACCGATAAGTATAGAGGATAAGCTGAAGATAACGAAAACAGTGACGCCGCAGTGGCCGCACGGCGAGATGTTGTCCGAGGTCTCAATGGCCAATCGAGTGATGTAAGCTGCGCACAGTCGTGTGCCGATCAAAAATCCGATGTTGATATGATTATTATTGAACACTGCAATAACAACGATCAATGAGTCTGGCGCCAGGGAATTATAAAAGACAACCCGTTAGTTGTGGAGAGCGACAGAGCCGAGCGAGATTTGTAAAGCACGTACCGACGAGTTCCGCTTTGCTGTGACGCGGCCCTCCTGGGACGACACTCGATCTCAAGGACTTAGGGGACGTAAAGTGAATTTAATGAGCGCAGGGAATCATAGCCCAAGGGTCGCGTTGCTCGAACAGCCTTGGATTTCAATCCTGGTTAGTTCGATGGAAATTCAGGAGACATCCGGGGAAAGTTGCTTGGTCGTGTGTGTTATGTTGGCGATAAGGCCGATAAGCAATGAAGCTTTCGCAGGGTCAAGCCAAGAGCAAACGGCACTTTGTTTCTGCTTGAGACAATGGCAGGACAAGTGAAGATGATCAAAGATGGCCGTGAAATCTGCTGGCTTTAACAACAATGTTCGATGAGCCCCGTGCTCAGCAGAAATCCTATATCAAGTAAGAGAGGCGGCTGCTTACGGATAATCCGCGTTCAGTATCAAACACCAGGGGATGAATAATGCATTATTCCATGTTCAACTCCAGATCGAATATTACAGTGCATCGGTATTTCCATTTGAGATATTCGAGTATCTCAAGTGCACTATATCAGTTTAAGGTAGCAAAAGAAAAGCCCTTCTGCCCCAAAATCCAAGAGAATATATGTACAGCAGGAATTCTGGGGTTCCTAGCCACCGGCAGTGGCTGGAATAATTACAATAAAAAGATATGTACAACTATGGGTATTAGTGGCTCGTGCTCATCGCCGTGAGCTGCGCGGATCAGTTGCTTCTTGTCGACGCCATTCTCGGGATTCCTTCGTCCCAAGACTCCCAAGTCCTCCTTCGAGTCGACGCTCCCAGCCGCCCAAACGGATAACGAGGCATGTTGCATTATCCCCTTCTTTTGTCACTTCCGTGGCGAAGTTGACCACGTTCCGAGCCCCTTCGTCAGGCGTCTTTGCTTCCTTGATTATGTCGACAACTTCTTGATCGGTGAGCGTTCCGCTAATTCCATCAGTCATGAGGACTAGGAATGAGTGCTCTGCTGGACCCATCTCGATGCGCCGAATTTCTGGTTCTGCAGACACGCCAATGCGTTTCGACTGGACGTCACCAAATGCACGCGTATTGGCTAAACCACTCATGCGTTCCTCGCCAAAGGAATCGGTTACAAATGTGGCCGCATATCGCCTCAACCGATTGGCTTCGATTGGGGAAGAAGGATGATGGTTGGATGTGAGTGGGATGGCTTCTCCTGTTGCAGTAGAACATAGCAGAATCCTCGTATCACCCACATGCGAGATCAGTAGACTCGACGGCGCGGATGGGTGCCAGAACGGAGTGGGGGTCGGAGTCGAGATGAGGGCAACACTGGCCGTGCTACCTCCCTTGAATCGTCGGTAGCTGCCAAGATTCATCCGCTCCGTGTGCTTCGGCCCGTACAGAATGTCATCCTGGTACTGAGGCTTATGAGCCGTGGCTAGTTCATCGTCTTCTTTGGCGGCTTGCGCTGAAACGAAGTCAAGGTCCGCTCGCAGAAACGCATACTCCAGAATCTCTTCAATCGTGACACCCCCCGCATGATCTTCCCCATTCGCGCTCCCGTTTCCTTGAGCGCCGTTCCCTCGATACGAGAAGTGGGCCGGCACAAATCGCTTGAAGTAACCTCCGACCAGCCTTCTCCAATTCTGAACTAGAGTTTTCTCCATCTCCGCCATTCTCTTATGATTGCCCCCTTGTATGATGGGCAGATCGCCCCTTGAGATCTCCGACTCATTCTTGGGAAAGTGGCCCTCTCTGTCCTTGCTCAGGCTCGACTGGAATTCAGATTGGGCTGCCGTGTCCTGTATATATTCATGTAGCGTGTCTTTCAAGAATGTGCTGCATTCGCTCCCTCCATGCCCATCGAACACACCAAAGTAGAAGACTTGCGGGTCGCCGCTGGCGCTATCGGCACCCCGGTTCTCCAGAGACGCAGCGGTGCGCTTGATAGTCACAGACGCAGGGGGGCGCTTCGCGAAGGCAGGAATATCAAGGACACCAGCCTGATGCGTGTCCTCATTCGAGACACGAGTCCCACGGGATGTAGCAGCACCGAAGTGGTGTTTCGCACTGCGCAGCGGTATCCGGACGACGGTGGTCTCGCGGTCAACTAGCGCCTGGAAGGAGGTCGGCGGATGTGATATCGCACCGGTATGAGGTACAGAAGCGGATCGAGGAAACTTATGATAGGAACTAGATAGTCCTCTGGGATCTGGATGTAGGGACGAGGATGGCAGGTGGGTAACAAAGTAGTCGTGGAATTCTGGCCGCTTGACAGTCCGGGAATTGGCGGACGCTGCCGAGTTCGTGTTCTGATGACGCTTTGGTAGTGCAACGAAAGCTTGAGACGAACATGATGTCAGTAAGCGCGTCGAACGTTTCACAGGATCATTGCAGACACAGCTCCGAGATCTGTATAGCGGCGTCGGAGATAAGACTTGCTTGCGGGAGGGGAAACAGGAGCAGAGCTCGACGTACTGTAGTTCGTCAAGGTCCACGTTCGGACAGTGACTCGCCTCGCAGGAGCCCAAATCATGGAAGTGAAGGCATTGAAAAGTAACTAGCTTTGGAATATGTTCAAAAATGGTTTATTATAGACACCCTCGCAGGTTCATGCTGGAGAGATCCTGTCTTAGTCCCGGAGATCAGCGAAGAGAGGCTCTTTTGATGGGTTTGCGGCCCGAGCGTCTGCGCGACGGAGAAATGCCACGGCAGTTTGTTCTGGTGATGACAACATTTCCTGCTTGGCAGAGACTATATCACCATAATCCAGACTGCGCAGTATAGTCATTCAATTATGGGTCGAAAAATGCATCGAGGAGGACGATCAATGTCACATTAGACAGGGCATACTGCATTATTTGATGCTAAGCTCAAGATTCGCCAATCCGAGTCTTTTTCCTTAACTACGGCCAATACGACTTTGACTAAGTTTAGCAATGTGGCTGTTGATCCTTAGCGAATCGTTCGACTGGCAATTGGAAATCATTAGGTAACACCTGATCCTCCTGATGTCCTGTCGTACACCAAGTCACAGTTCGTCGTCTCCTTCGCTAACGAGCAATCCACCGCGAATAAGAGCGAATTCTGTAACAGACCAGGATCTATGAGAAAAGAACGCAAAATCAAAGCAAATTCGCCAACCCGAACGTATCGCAGAGGCGGAATGAGTGCTTGAGAGAATTTAAAAGACCTCATCACTCACTCCAAAGCAAGATATCCTCGGCATCATACCAGAAGGCACAGAAGACCAAACTAACAAGATCCCCACGCAGGAGCCATGAATCCTGTCACCAAACTGTCTCAGTACTGGTTAAGGCGAGATATCAGGGACTCCGGGATAAGTGCCGCGCTGTTCTCGGGCATCAGCAGCACCTCACTCTGGAAGACAAGCTCGCAGGTCGATGATTCTTCGAAGTTTGCGCGAATGTATGTGACGGGAGTGTAACCTAGTTTGACTCTGAACCACAAGCGCACTAGCTCGGCTGGAGATCTGTCGTTGGTGGGGTCCATGTTGACCATCTCAATCGGGTCAAAAAGCTCGTCGCTCTCCGGGAAATAATGCACATACTCCAAAGGAGTCAGAAGCATGTCGACCGACAGAGCCTGCGCCTTTGCGATGATTTGTGCGATTCTGGTGCGGCCCTCGGTCTGGTACTCAGGTATGTCTGGAACAAGACGCCCAATGTACCGCCACAGCTTCTCCACATACCACCGGTGCTTTTCCAGGTAGAATTCTTTGAATCCAGGCTTGCACAGAATCTCGCAGACGATTTTCACCATGGCGTTGAGCACAACCTTTCGCACGAAGGGCTCAAGGTCTGAACTGAATGTCTTAGCCGGAGACTTATGGACATGGAGGACTTTGAGCCCACGTTACTTACCGCGAAGGAGATGGTGCTTCAGCAGTTGATACTCGGCATCCAAAACCAGGTCAAATCCCTGTATCACCGTCTCGTTCAGGACCCAATCAAGCAGCCACTCGTTGATCGCTCTGGAGACCAGGGCCCACCTGGTGCCAGGGCTCGCGAGCAGACGGGGCATCAGGATGCTGTGCGAGACGCGATTGAGGTATTCTCTGATACGAATGGGCAGCTGTCCGTCTCTGGCAGGGTCAGGAGAATTCGCAAAGATATGTCCGAACATTTCCGCCTTCCTCCAGAGCTCTGCAAGCTTGGCTGCAAAGTGCTGTGTCGCCCACTCCGCGCCGTAGTTCATGCCGAACTCGATTGTTGCGATGGCAGGGCGGTGGCGACGGAGCAGCCTTTCAAGATCCTCATTGGGAGTAAGCTGTGGAATGACGCTGGTGGGCTCGGGACGTCTGCGGGCCTCCTGGTGGGAAGGAAGCTCCTGGCGAAAGGTATGCAGTTCCATTTTCTGGCAGTCTGGATTCACCATGGAGGAGAAAGATGAGCGTCAGTCTGGGTAGATTGCCGAAGAATCCTTTGTTTTGGGAACGCAATCAGCTCAGTCAGAGTCAACACTTGGGAGAGTGATAATTATCACAATTTATCATTCAGCGTGTGCGTGGGATTCAAGCAAAGCTCGGCGCCCTAAGTAAGAGGAATAAACATGGTGCTATTGGATGCCGGCAGTCTCAGATGCGCAGCTGGCGACGGTTTCTGTCATGCCTGTGACTGCTTGTCCGGAAAGTTCTAAGTTATCAACAGGGATACATGGTTTTGTGAATGAGAAGTCTTTTAATAAGCTGAGATACTGTGTCTGAATTGATATCATAAGTTTCACTTTCAAAGTTGATGCTTTTGCCAACTGCCAGAAGATCATATGGTAAATAAGATGTGATCGATTGCAATCTGTCCAGGAACCGAACAGCAGTTTTATGGGGCATGGGTTATCTTCTACACCCAAGGTATGTTGATGCCAAGTACATATTTGACATCCTGAGATACCTTGTTCGCATGTCATCGAGAGTACACTACGGAGGCAACATGGTTTACTTCTTATGGGCTCGAATAGACTGGTACCAGGGACGGTTGCTCTACAGTTTCGTGAAGCAGGTAAGAATGGTCAGAGTACAAAGAAGTTCATTTGCGCTAAAACGATGCGAAGTTCCTATAAACAAATCATTGCACAACAGCCTTCGGGCTCATATGACAACCACAAAAGCGAGATGTTAGAAGATCGGCACCTACCAGGGCCAGCGTTACCCAAGCACCATGCCGCAGCAGGAAGATCCAATTGCAAGGTTAACAAAGTTTTTTGACCGTCACAAGTCGCACCTAATAACCTGATTAGATGAGATACCTACCATGTCGTGCATGTGTGGTAGGTGTCACGAAGTTGCTCGTGCGCTAGATTGCTTTTGTGCGGGAGAACAAACTGCTGTATACGGCATCAACGACAGGCTGAGCGGTGATCTGTCGACCGCCAAAAAATCGACCGTTGAGACCCTTAATGGCATTCTCGCCGCCTTGGACTCTGTCGAACTTGAGGTAGATGTCGCCTTGAGAGTTGGGATCTAGTGCAATGTGAACAACATGGCCATATTTGTCTTCGCACTCAGCGCGGACGTCATCCTCCAGCTCCTTGATCCAGGCCTCGCCCTCTTCTCTGTGGCTGAGTTAGTGGATGCGAACTACCTATGTAAGGGTGTAAAGATAACTTACTCCGCAGGGTCAAACATGTTACGAAGCAAAACGCATCGACTTGCCATGTTGACATTGACAGGCAACGGCTTGGTTTCTGTCTTGGGTCGGAGCACCTTCTGCTTATCATCGGCAGCAGGTTCGGCAGGTTCATCTGTTCTTGCAAGTTTCCTCATCAATGCGTCCCTACTATAGTTGTTGAAGTTCACACCGGCAACGTCTGTATCATCCAGAGCACTAGCGCCGGCTCCCTTTTCAGAATCGCGGCCACCGGCCCGGTCGAAGTTACTAGTACCGCCAGCTTGGATACCACGTCCTCCCTGGCCGGAGAATGAAGAGCCCTGGAAATTTGGTTGGTTCGCACCATGGCTCTGCGAGCGTTGCGCTGACGAGTCAGGGGTGAACTTATCGTTGCCAAGGCCAACGCGGATTGCGCGACCAGCAAGGTCAAAGCCATTCATCTTCTCCAATGCCTCTCGGGCTTGGTTGGGGTCACGGAACCTACAAAATCGTTTTGTCAGCCGAAGCAGGACAAATACGAAGGCAGGAAGATTCGTCACTTACTGTACAAAGCCGTAACCCTTGCTCCTACCTGCTTCATCCTTTTGCAGTTGAACAAATTCAAGTTCACCGAACGGTTCAAAGACATTCTGGAGGTCACTTTCAGTGATACTGAAATGGATATTACCCACGTATAACCTGTGAAATGGAGCAGCGTGATTATGACCACTGCTGGCCTCTGGATTACGGGCCTGGCGGTTCTTCTCCGCTTCCGTCAATTGTGCGATGATTGGAATTCCTAGAAGCTTCTGTCCGGTGAGCTGAATAGCAGGCGCGACGGATTCTTCGCTCTTGAACTCGACATAGCCAACGCTATTAAGCTGTTAGTCGACGGACTGGTACCAAGGAGAGGAGCCACGCTTACCCTTTAGATCTTCCACTCACACGATCCTTGACGATCTGAGCTTCTTTAACGGGTCCAACCTTTTCGAAGAAAGCAATCAGTTCCTTCGTTCTTAGACGTGCCGCAAGCTGCTGAACGAAAATTGTACGTCTGTCACGTTCATCCTCATTGAGCTCTGGGGACTTCTCCCGGCTTGGGCTGCGCTTCCGTTCACGGCGGGAGCGTCGTTCATCTTCCCGGTCTTCTCGATGAGGGCGACCCGAGGGGCGGTAGTAGCGCTCGTCATTGGGAGAGCGAGATCGGGTGCGAGGCCGTCCACCTCCGCGGTAATAGTCGCCAGAAGAGCGGTAGTCATCGCCGTAGCGATCACGTCGAGACCGACGTCGTTCACTGTCACGGCTTTTGCTCCTCTTTCTGCTTCTATGGCTTCCGTTAGCACTGCCGTGTTCGCTTCTCGGACTCTTCATGTCTTCATCTCCATCAACATCTCGTTCTCGGCGACGTTCTCGGCTCCGGTCGCGCCGTCTGCGATCGCGATCACGGCGTTCACTGCTATCGGCTTTTGAGCGGTCATCGCGGTCCTGAGACTGAGCGGAGTCTTGCGGGGTTGCTGCAGCGGTTGATTCGAGGAGAGCTTCAACGTCGAGACCTGACATTGTGATGATGTGCTAGGCAACACTCTTGGGTCTGACGAGTTTTGAATAGGGAAAGAAAAAAGAAAGGACTTGGGTCACTTGGACTTCGTTAGAAAGTGACGAGTTATCAAGCTTGACTTGAGCGAACCCTTCTATTTGTACTATCGAATTCCTTAAAGCTTGCGACTAAAACGTTAAGGCCGGGCCAGATGATCACTTGATTGTCGCTAATTGTAGGCTTTAGCTGTTGATAAGCCAGTGGTGAGGGATGTCTGAATGTCTCAAACTGAGAGGAACCATGGACGGTCACATGATTCTTGGCGTTTGCCTCCTTATTCTAAGATTTTTTAAACCCGATTAGTGGGTGCCTCAGGCCAACTTTAACAGAACCCAGTACTTCACAATGAACAAAGAGTTTCTAATTATGTATTAATACCTAGTCGTATAAGTCATTTAAACAACAATCCTAAAGCCGTTTAAGACATTAAATTTTCAATCATTGAAGATTGAAAGTACATAGTCCGTTGTCTGAGGAACAACAGTGGGGATCAAAAGCCATCATCTGTAAAAGCCGTGGTGTTTAGCGAGGATTGGATATTGGAACCGCAGTCATTTGTAATTAGTCGTAAGGTTAATATATGGGCAGAGAAAGGAATTCGTCGCAGTGCGAGACGAAGAATAGAAATCCCAAGCAGTCTTCATCATTGAGCTTTCGCGCCCTTGGGTGGTGGGGTTTGGAGCTCAGTGCCAAACACTCGATCCCAGAAGCGACTTGTGACACCAAAGCCGTTTTCATAGTCGGCAAAGTGGTGCTCAAGGTGATACTTCTTGAGTGACTTGTAATAGGCGGGCAAGCTAGAAGACGCCACTGCATTAGACATGTGGACTGATAATCATAGGGAGTGAAGAACTCACTTGCGGTGGTGGAGGAAGTAATGTGTCATATCATAACAGATATATCCAAATACGCCACCACAGAAAACTGTGACCGCAGCGTACCAGTTATAAAAGAAGATTGTATGAGCCAGTTTCCAGAAGGGCGTGGCCAGAATCACGAACAAAGCTGGTGGCATCACAAGTCGATATTTATCCATTGGCAAATAATGGTGGATTCCGTGCAGAAGGAAATGGAGGGTGATACCGACTCGGTTATCAGGAAGATATCTGAGGAAGACCAAAATGTCAGGTGACGTTAGAAGGGCAGGCATCAGTAGAGTACGTACCCGTCAATGTGAAAGAGGAATCTGTGCATGAGATATTCGATCAAGGTCCAAAGAAAAAGACCAAACAGCCAGTAGCAGGCTGCTGCAGGGACATTTCCCAGTCCAGCAAATCCAACAAAACTTCCGTAGGTGACTGGAGGAAGCCAGAGCAAAGGAACCACATACCACGCGGTCTTGCTCAGGGGCTCCAGGAAGTTTCCAAATAAGGGTGCCGACTCTCCTCCCTTATAGTGGCGCGGCCGGTGGATCTGCTCCAGATAGAACTCTTTGCTGAAGCCACTATTCCAGAGCTGAAGAAGCAATGGCTTGTTGAGGTCTAGAAATTTGAAAGTCTGATAATCCTTGGTGAGGTCTGTTTCAACGGACAGGTCCTCTTCGCGCGACATGCCTGTCGTAGCATACACTGGCCGCGAATCATCTTCAGCCCCTTCTGTAGCTGACCCGTTTGTATCTGCTGTCTTTCCGATAGATTTCGTATCGAGGAACCCAACAAGAAGGTCCTCTAGTATTTCGTAAGCCGCCTCAGAATGATTGTGAGAGGCCTCATCCCGCAAGATCTCCTTCACATCTTTACCAGCATATTCGAGGATTAAGTCCCCGCCTCCCGGGTGGTCATTGAGAAAGGACGTGACATCGTAAACCTTGGAGCCCAAGGTCACGTAGCAAGATTTGGCGTGGTTGTGGGAATCGACCTCGGCGGGTGTGAATGTTGGCAGAATCTTCCCAGGCATGATCGGATATTCTCAGGTTATTGAAACACCACTGCGCGCAGCAGACACAGATTCGAGAAATATGGAATCGACTAGACCAACTGTGAGTACAGAGTCGCCTAAGCTCAGAAATCGAAAACTTCAGATGGAACGGCGAAAACGTGAAAATAAATCGCGGAAAAAGGAGTGGCGTGAGCTTCGAAATAATATCAAGGCTTGCGGGCCCGATCGCTCCGGACCCGTCGTACAATACTGGGCCAGTTACGACCGCGCCTTTTGCAAAGCACCACCGTCTTCTTCGGCTTTCCGCGGATCCTTTGCGCCGAGCTGGGATGAAAACTGAGTGATAAATTATCATACGCAAAAACAGGAGCTGTTGACGAGGGACGAGGAGTAGCAATCATGTGGGTGAAACATCGAAAGTTGATGATTTGCTATACTCTTTTGGGACAATGTGACCCCTGACCCACTTCGGCATGGTATCCTTATTCTTAAGGCTCCCAACGCCCTTTAAGGCTTCAACTTTTCTCAAGCGGACAGTTGAAGGCTATCGGCTCTTCTTACGGCGCCGGATATCTATGTTTCTTACTGGAGCCTGAGTCCATATGTGAAACAGGTGATGCAAGTACAAACATCCATAATGGTGACTTTTCATCGACCGTTGATCAGACAACCTTGCCTAGTGAAGGGACAGGCGCCGCACAAATATTGCAGTTAAGCTTCTCAGTTGAGTCAACAATGATTGCATCATGAAAGTCGGCCTCTACAGGCTAACCTTGAGGACCGATGTGCAGGAATAACATGAAAGGTTTCGGCAGCTGAATGGCACAGTCCGTCCATCCCATAGCTGTTTCCGGTGGCTGGCTGATAACATTCCCTCAGCAGGCTGATATAGGATTAGGATATGGCCTGAGAGTTGCACTATTGAAAAGTAGTTCACGGAATTCTTGTCCGAGGGACCGTGAGGTGCTGAGATGTCGAGGCTCTCAGGAGCTACGATGCATTCATGCTGAATGTTTGGCTGTGTCACGTCATGACCACAACCCTTGCATACGAGCCCTCTGTACGATGTTCAGCCTACCTACCAGGCTACCGCGGCTACACCATTGAATGAGAATAGGCATCGTACTTGCAAATGCCAAAATAAGAGACAGCTCATTCTGCAAAAGTATGCGCCCTAAACCCTCGTTGGATGTGACTTAGGAGCTTTGACGTTGGATGTGGATAAAGTTTCAGAGCTCCCGTTATACCTATTTCACTGGGACTTTTGCAAATTGACGTGTCTTATGATCTCGCCAGCCTTAAGACTTGAGTGCTGGTAGTCTAGATACTCTGTACAGTACTTTTCTCCTACGCTGAGTCTGTTCATACCGAAGCCAGTCAATGTCACGCGGTGCAGGCTATTTTACCGCTATGAAACCGTGGTTTAGCTGCAAAGGTACCTAGACGCGAAGGGGAGCCGTTGGATGAGCAGGAACCCAATATGAAATCTCTTATCTTCATGAAGGATTCAGGGTTCACACTTCTGCTAACCTCAACTGTCAACCACTCAAACTAGGTAGCCATGCCTTTTAGCCCCAAAATTGAGTTAAGGGCTTAAGGCGTCAGATCCCGTTTGTAATTAATATTGATAAATCATACCTACGGACTATTCCATACGCTGGATATGTATGCCAATCATCTCACTCCTTTTTTGCCCCATAATCTGCTTCCATCATTTCAGCAATTTATTGGATGAGGTACCTATGTTGCGGGCCACATCCAGTAACACTGTACCGGCCGAATACCTAAACAGGTAAACGGTAGGTAGGTAGGTACTTTTGACTCGCGAGGCCCCTGAAATACCACGAATTGGCCCAACAGGAGACTAGCTAAATAATAGCTACGGGGAAGTAAGTACCTTATTCTATCCTCACGCAACCAGGGCGAATAGGGCGTGACCTAGATATTGAACCTGCCTGCAAGGTATGGACGATGAAAACCCAGTAGTTACTTTAGTTAATTACTACAGCGCTACAGCGGTACGGAGTACGGACAGTATCTACTTACCTTAAGTACACAGCCGTGGTGTCGCCGCGCCTTAGGGTAACGCGGGTTACGGGTAACTTAAGCCTGCTCCGGCGAATGGGATGTGGAACTGATCTTCATTACTGAAATTGATATGTTGGATAATTGGAACCAAGGAAAGAAAGAGCAGCCGACAGTGGACAGTCAACAGTCGAAAAGGACGTCCATGGTGGATCGTGATGGAGTGGACGTACTTGGACGTACTTGGTAGAGTTTCTCCGTATATCCCCCGGCGGATTCGCTCCAGTTTGGAGCGGAGCAGTCCCTCAGCTCACATAAGGTTTGCTTGAACGTCTCTTTCCGTCTCTTCGGGTTTATGCAAGTGCTGCTCGGAGACTTTGAGTTTGCTGCCCAGACCTACCAAAAAGGGAGTGTCGGGTCCTCAAATCGATACCTTGATAAACATAATTACAGAAGTTCCCGCCGGCATCTGATCTTTGTTGAGCTAACTGTCAAAAAAAAAAAAGTGGGGATTTGACATTATTGGCCACCTCTCAATCCCTTTTGGTCTCGACCAGTTCTTTGTCTAAGCCTCCAGTGGCCTGGTATCTATCTAATAATCTATCTACCTAGTATCTATTGGTAGTTCTGGCTAGTGATGCGTTAGTAGCTTATTAGTTAGTACATGTCTAGCTCCCCAAAGAAATGGGAGCTCTGTTCATTATTATTATTGATTGACCCTTTTCCAGCTCTCACCCCCCCCGAGATACGATAGTTAAAAAGAAACAAAATCCCCCATATTGTACCCCTCCTCTCTTCGGCAAAGGGATCACGATTTATTACGATCTCAGTCAGCGCTAAACATGGCATCAACTACGCAGTTCGAATCCTTTTCTTTTCGGGGCAACCGTATCGCTGCCTACCTACAGACGCTATCAAGGGCCAAGAAAGGTTTACCGCATGGTGTACCAGTCTGCGTCTCTCCTTCACATACCATTACCAACACCGAGTCTCTGCTGACCCTGGCCTCCTTGGTCGGCCCTCATGTTGCGATCTTCCAAGTTCATGCGGACATCATCGACGACTGGTCCGACGAGACAGTCCGCCAATTGACCTTGCTGGCGAAGAGACACACCTTCTTGATCTGGGAAAGCGGCCGAATCCTCAATGCTACCGTCGACGTTGTTGGAAAAACAACAACCGAGACAAGAGAAGTGAGAAACGAGTTGGTAGATTTGATACGGAAAAAGTACACCAAAGGTGTGGTCAAAGCAGCCTCATGGGCTGGCATTGCGACGGCCTGGGCATCTGGTGTCGCTGTCGGGAACCAAGAAGGCGATATCTTGATCCCGACATTGAAGGCTGCCGCTCGAGAAGCGGTTGCAGACAGTGTGCAAACCATCAGAACAGAGATTACGGCTGTTAATTCCCCGACTGAGTCCTGGCTGAACGGACATGATGACTCTGAATCAAAGGAAGACACCGATGCTGACCAGCAATATCTGACGCTTGACTACGCTGTGGATGAGAGTGGTCTTGGCCTTACTCTTCGGAAATCTTCGACCATCTCTCTCACCCAAACTATTACTCAACATACCGAAGATTCTACGGAATCGCTTCTGGACTCGACATCTCACCTCATAACGCAGGATGGCACTCCAGAAACCAATCTCCAAAATTTGTCCAACGGTGATGATCTGCCACCTCCGCCTCTCCTTGCACGTGGTCTTGTGCTCTGTCTCCCGTCAATGACCGACACCTCATTCACGCCTGAATACAGACAGAGCTGTCTAGCTGCTGCTCGCGCCAACCAAGATTTTGTTCTGGGATTCCTGTGCAGTGAGCCGTGGCATCTCATTTCCCGGAGAAATGACATCTTTGGCATCAACTCTCTCCAAGCGACCGGGTATGAGATTGGCACTTCAGATGAAACGCCAGCTCATCTTGCTGTATTCTCGATGATCTCTCATAAGAATGGCATACTGAATGGCCGAGAAAAAGACGATGATGAGAGTGACGAGGAAATGAGTCCCACGACCCCCTTGGCTCCGGAGTTACCGTCGAGGATCATGAGCCCACTTGCAACAAAGCTGCATGCTATTGTCGGGCAAGCGATCAAATTACGTGATGCAACAGTCAAGCATGCAGTAGGTAGCCTTGCGAGCTCGGATTCATTGAACGCACCCAAGCTTCTGCATATTCCCGTGGTATCATTACCTTGATACTAGAACAAGTATTATCTTCTTTTTTTTTTCTCGATCAGGTAGAGCGTTGGCTCATGATTCGGAACGCATTGTGATACACATATTTCCAGACCAGTTAACGACCAGGATTTTCAGTTTGCAGCAGGTGCGGCGTTTGAGGATTTCAGGGACAGCTTGTGTAATCGTACGAGCGAGAACTTGTCCATACCTGAGTATTGTTTGTTTATTTTGGTGTTTCAGGCCCTTCTATCGAACGGCTTGGTCTTCCTGCCCTTATTACATGGTGTACCTTAGAACGTGGTGTCTACGCAGTTGAGCGCAACGCATCACGTGACTTATTGCCTAATGAGGCGAATTATCGACAGTGATTTCGACCTCAACTTTCCGTCTTGTCCTAAATGATCATACTCTTTGCACTTCTCTGGGGCCACCTGTTCTATCAGGGTAATATAAATTTAGAAAGGAAGCATCCACATGCTAAGGATATATCTCTCCGGCTTTTAGAATGTTCTCAATTTATGCCAGATAGGAAGCCACTGCTCTCCAAAAGAACATCACTCGTCACCGAGAACATGACAAAAGCCCGCAAAAACTCGGTTGCTCAGATATGCGCTTTAGGGGGTTTGTAATTCAGATGCGACTCTCCCTTTTGTTGTATTTGTGCGCTCTACTTTTTTATAGACCCTTTCGGGCTAAAACATCAGTCGACGTACTCGAGTATGCAGGGGGGACATAATTTTCTTGCCTCCTCTGATGGCCCTGGAGATCCAAGCCGAACACTGCTGGCTGGATTTGCCGCGGATGACCCGC